AAAATGTGATGCAACTTATGCATCTTTCCTTTTCTTTTAGTAGGGGCTCTCCTTCCTCTGTTTTGCCTGGGGCAACTTAACTGACTGTTAATGAAATCAGTGCACCTCAACTGAAGGTCAACTGCAGAAACATTTCTTCTTGAGAAATACTAAGGAGGCAACTTAGTTTGGACTCCAGAACTCTCTGTGCTCTGTTGTTAGGTGCATCCATACAGCATCAGAGCGTGTACATTACAGTAGGTAACTCAGTAAGTTTAAGTTAAGTGAGTGAAAATAGTTTATTGCCTAATATTTTGAGTTTGTTAGTATTCAGTCACATTCTTTCAGCTCAAGTAAATTCTTGATGAGTAGTCTGGGATTTTTAGCTGAGTGGTGGTTTTGGAAATCTGATGGATTCCTGATAGGATTCCTTCCTCACACCATAGCCAACTGAAGACTTTTTCAGACATTAATACGTTTGAAGCATTATGCGGACATATAGCAATAAGGGGTGGAGGAACTAGTTCAAAGAAACAACAGAGATGACCTGAGTCTCAGTTCTCTAAGCTACTCAAATCAAACCTGGATTTTTATATTCATATTTACACAGTGCAGAATAGAAGCATTTATTTTACTTCATTTCATCAAAATATATACACTTCCTCATTAAAACTGCTCAACAACAAATCCTGTTCCCTTGGTTCCCTTCTGTTCGCCAGCTGGCATCTAGAATTCAGCTCCACATCTCAAAGACACAGCTTTCCCTCTTATTCTTGCTGTACACTAAAAAAAAAAAATCACAGCATAATATCTGTATTCTCCTTACAGCACAAACCATTAACTGACAAGCTACCCTGCCTCCAGGAGGTTGCAGTCTTGTGAATTTTGACTAAAATTACCCCTCTTCCTTTCATAACAATATCCTGCTTTCAGACTCTACAAGGTGACAATTCCTACGCTCCACAGTGAAAAAAGAAATATGCTATTCTACATTCACCCCACCATGTTCTTCATGTATAATACTTGAATTTTTGCCTGTTGGGAAGAGGAACTTTTTTTGGTTTGTGTTTGCACACAACTGGATGCAGTTAACATTGGTTCTCTCCTTTGAACATCTAAATGCCACCAGCATGCAAATGAATCAATATATGAACAAGCAACAATTGAAATGTATTATTTATTCATTTTCAACAATACAACTGTGTAACCAGTGTAGCCTATCTATCGGCTCGCATAATACCCAGCTTTCTAAGATGGGTCTTCCTTGTTCATAACTACGCGCTTAGTCTTTTGGTGTGGTTTTCTAGTCTCTTCAAACTGATCAGAACATGTTCTCTGAAAGCATTTAAAACTGTATGCTCTCTGGGGGGGCTTAGTTGGAACTCCACAGAAAGTCATATGGTGAATGTTCTCTTCTTGGTTCTTGGCAGAATTACTCATGCATGAAAACATGCAATTCCTTCCCCACAAATACCTTTGTATGCAATTCTGATATCTGCCTTTTGGTCAGTAAAAGTCGATCTCACACATTTGCAGACAGCAGTCCAAAGGGACTTGTGTTTGGCCAGAGCCAAAACAATTCATTTATTAAGGTGAAGAAATAATATTGATGGAAAATGTGCAGTGTTTGAAGAGCTCTGCAAATTATGCTTTTCCAGTACATCTATTTGCCATTTGCCATTGATGGACATGGCTACAGGCAAGGCGTGACTCTCAAGGTATGTCTATCAGGGAAAGGCAGGAGCCAAGAAGATGTTAAGGGTGGGAAAGTAAAAGTAACAGGGCACTGCGTTGGGGGAATAAAACAAAAAGTGTGAGGGAAAGAAAGAAAGGAAGAAGAAGAAACTGGAACTCAAAGTCATATAGTCAGGCAGACTAAAAAGAACTCACCATCTTGGGATTTAAAAGAGGAGAATTATGAAATAAATTACAGTGAGGTTTGGATGGGACTGAACTATAAAAGGAGCTTGTATGTGAAACACATGGGAATTACTACGTCAGAACACACTGGGATCAAGTAATTTAGTTCTAAAATGAGTAAAAAGAACCTTTTAGGCTAGTTGGGCTATTTGTATCCTCATTATTCCCATTTGTTTGCATTCATTCTGAAAATACTAGCACCTTCTCCCAGTAAAACTTCATTTTATAGCCAGTGAGAGAAACAAAAAAAGACTTGTAATAGATCTCACCAGCTTTAATGACACACTCGCAGATGGAAACAAAAAAAAACCCCTCCCCGTCAATTTTATCTTGCTTTGTGTAGCCGTTCCAGAAACATGTCTTTGCTTCTGTGCGATAGCAGCGACTTAACTGACTAACATCCTGTCTCTGACCTCAACTTCTTGAGCAAAGTCGTTGAGGCATCTGTGACGAGCATACCCCGTCATCATGTGGTCTTTGTCCTAACTCCCTTGGCCACAGACATCTGTTCAACATGGAAACAGCAGAGGCTGACCGAGCTAACTCTCTCTTCATGGCCGCGGAGAAAGGATTAGCAACGCTGTTGGCAATGGCTGGGTCTGCTGCTAGGCTTCAGAAGCCGATGCCGTGAAAGCTAAACTCCAAAGCAATGCCTGAGAGGCAATGGGGAGTCGTACAATGCAAAAGAGCTTTTTCAATATTTCTTAACAGTAAATACAAACGTATTTGCTTTCCCTTCCCTTTCCCAAAGTGTTTTTGTTATTATCTCCTTCTGCACTCACTGACTGGACGCAGCTATCCATAAGAACAGAGCCTGGCTTGGTTTCTTCTGCAATTATTCTGTTGTTCAAAGGGGAACAGAAGTTACTGTCTAATAAGGGACAGTGGCAGTAGGGAAGATAAGTTGCCTGGAGATTAAGTTGGAAAGCTTCATTTCCCCATTCCAGTAGGAACAGAAGGAAAACTTTTAGCTTAATTCTCAGTTTCCTGTCTTGTCACCATAATCCATCCCTTAAAGTTTTTTTAACCTAAAGTTTTTTGTGTAAATTTCCTCAGTTTTGTTAAGAATTATGTTTTAAAAAAAAAAAAATTCTTCTCCTTGTGAAGATATATGAAAGTGAATGGGACAGACTTTTGTGGGTACTCTCAGACATAGATATACAAATCCCAAGGGCATGGGTAGGGTGGGAACATAGGTTCCATCTGCCTGCATTGGTTTTGAAGGAATTGTCTACTGAGCGTGAAAGAGGCTAGATTACAGTCTGTGACTTGCTCAAAAGGAAGAAAAAAAAGCTACCTTCATGCACACTGCGGAAAAAAGAAGAAAGAAAATTATTGTGAACAAATTCTTGTGGTGGGCAATATTTTTCAAGAACGGTTTGGCTCAGATCCCATGACATAAGAATTGACAGTAAAATACGTGAGTAGTTTCTTCTAAAGTATTTACTACACAGGAACAGCAGGCATTTCTCAAAGAGAAATGGCTTTTCCAATCTGAAGAGACTGCCAGATTGCCACAAGCAAATATACAACGTCATTTTCACCTCAAAAAAACCAGTTTCACAGTTCCAAAATTACAGTTCAGTCCACTCTGGCAAAATTAAGCTTTGGTAGAATAAAAAGGACTCTTCCCCCAGTTACAATGGGCTAATGAGAAGCTGTGTTTCAAATGTGCCACAGTGCAGGGGCAGAAACAAGCATGGACGTTTTGGACATAGATTCCAAGCGTAAGGGAAGCTGTAACTAGCTTGCCTTGGCTGCTCCCCTGAGGCAGACACACCTCTCCACCTCTCCAAGGCACTGCCTGACATGAGGGGGAGGAGGTGACATCCACCCCATAGGTTCCCAAAAATCAGTACACCTAGCCAGTTCTTGGGTGAGGGTGAGGCACCTGTAGCCATCTGGTTCATTAAGATCCTCCTTAGAAGGAGGATCTTATTTCCCTTCTCATGAGGTATATCCCAAGGGAACAAGCCAAAAGGATTACAAGCTCCAAACTCTTTCAACGTTTCTATAAGTAGTCTGCAGCAACCCTAGGGACCATTTAAAGATGAAACAGTCAGTTCCTACTTGGTACCAGCAGCTCATGTTGGCCCACAGATGTTCACACCGGGGGCAGCTGCTCCACCTGTTCCATGCATCCTCAAATGGGGTGAAACCTTGCTTTGGAGTTGGGAGGAAAGGGGGAAATAGAAGGGATGGGGAAACGGGAAGGACGGGGAAAATGGGGGGGATGGGCAAAAATAAATATTCCATCGACACTCTTGTGTCTTGTAACTGCACTGAGGACAGGGCAAGTAACTTCCCTGTTGCAAGATGGGGAGAAAATGAAATAGCTGAGCAACAATCTCTACTGGGTGGAATTTTTACAAATTATTATTTCACAGACTTCTTAAGCACCTCCCATTCTTAACATGTGGGGTGCCCTTCACCAGGTGCTGTGATGGGGAGTAAGTTCAACAAGCTAGCTGGCATGGAGGAGAAGTTCTGCTGGCACTCCTTGTTGGGTAAAACCAAGTGGCATTTCCCTTGGCTGCCATGCAATGTGGTCTTTCTCCCATGCTAGGACTCCATGAGCCAGATGCAGATGGCAGGATTGTTCAGCTAGAGCTAGTCGAAAGAGTTCAGGGTGGGAGAGAGGCCACAGCACTGCAACTGCAAGAGTTATGGTCTTACCTGTAGGGAAGCATGAAACAGGAATTGATTTGGAGGAATCCCATGATTGAAGCGTGAAACTTGGCTGCCTGATACCCAACAAACAACTCCCACCATGACATGTTTTACAATGGATTTTACAATGGATTTTTTTGTTCTGAGCTCCACATGCAACCCCTCATCTTGGTAGCTCCTTCAGCAGAACTGAGAGAGAATGTGCCTTCCCATCCAGCCCACCCTGTCCTCTCTAGATCACACAAAGCGCATTTTTTGAGCAGCGTTAGGACTTTATTTACTCCAGGCAAGGGCACAGCTCTCTCCAGCCCAAAGAACACCACGTAAATGGGAGCTTTGGTGAAGCCTGCAATCGAGGCCTGGGAATTCAGATGAGAGTTATTAAACAAGCACAATACCAATCTCATATTATGACGATGATAACGTGGTACCTTTTCCTTCCTTCTGACATCTCTTTCTTTGTACAATACATTTTCTGCTCTCGCTTGTAGCTGGGCAAGGATTGCCCCTTGCTGACGGATGCTGTACGATCTCTCTGACCCTTACTTCATTTCCTCTTTTGAAACCACATGTTTTTCCTTTCTTTGTGCAAGGGCTCCATGGACTCCACTCACTAGCTTCACAGTGCACTGCAATAAACATAGGACAAGCTGAGCCTGGCCAGTATCTTTTGGTATACACAATGCATATGGTACATTAATTTTATTCTGCATCAGCTAAAAGGTGGCAAAAATAATGGAATTAATCAGGATTTGCAGCAGTGAATTGACAAAAATTGGACTGCTGATGATATACTGCACAAAATAACGTCAAATAATTATGTCAGTTACTATTTTGTACTCGCTGTTTCATAATTCCATTCCTGAAACAGGGCAAGACAACCACAATTGGTCTCAATGAAATCAGTTATGGGGGCTTGTTCTGAGGTTGCTTTTGTTTTGTGGAGGTATAAATCCTTGTAGCTTTGGTGGTATTAAACTTTGGTCATGCTTATGTGAAAGGAGAGTGAAGTCATTGGGTCAAGCTGCTGCAGCTGGTCTCAGAGGTATTGAATTTGGAAATCAAGAGAGTTATAAAGGACCAGCTGATATCAAAAGGCATTACATTAAGAATCAAGTTATCTTTGGTGATCTGCTGCTTGGAATTCAGCTTAAGTAGTGTAAGAGCCATCATCTGTAACGTATACAAGCTGTAAGTAGGCAGAGCATTTGGGTCGGGATGTGTGTGTGCAAGCTTTTCAGAAAAGTGTGTGTTACAGTTTATAAACCACAGTGATCTGAATGTGCATCCCATACTATTGGGGATGCAAAAGATGTGCAGCGGGACACTTGTCCAGACAGTGTAGGCAAAAGTGGGAGTGACCTTGGAAGCTTAACAGCGTGCTCTTAATAACTCTCCTTCTTTTGTGCCATCTCCTCAGTATCCTTCTCTTTGTATTTACTTTTTGTTTACATGTGTGTTTAAGACTATAAACCACTGCTGAAGAAGGAAATATTTCCAGCCCCTCTATAAGAAGGAATTCGTAAGTCAACATTTTTCCAGCTCCAGAATTTACTTCCAAATTTTTCAAAGCCTAAAAATATAACTGACCTCAGGCAATCTCTGAGCCTTCTTCCAGTGAATAGTCATGTGGGTCGTTTTGTTTTTCATTTAAAATAATTGGCCTTCACGTGCACAGAAAAAAAGGTTCTGTTTTTCCTCCGTAGCTTTAAATGGCTTTTCCTGGTTGAGACTGACTCATTGCTAAAGCAGCTAAGTCTACAGCACTTGGAAACAGCCATCAAGAAACAAAAACCATCCCTTGAATTTCTTTCAAAGATGAAAGTCTTTGCTTGAAAATAAAACTGTAAAAACCATCACTACCACCTGAACTAATATATATTTGAGCAGGAAAATGCCAAAATACTGTACATTATTTTTATTCCTGCATTACTTTCCCTCCAAAACATGCAATGCCAGGGAGAGCTATATGCATGATACTGTGGGGGAGGAGATTTCCATCATGGCCAGACTGTGCCTAAGTGCTACTTGGTTGCTGGTGGCTGAAGAGGTCACCGCTTCCACCGCAGTTCACAGCCCTCAGCCACCACAATTCGCAGCCAGCGTACGAAAATAAGCTGAACCTTGCTGCAGCTTCAGCACATCCATGGCAGAGGATGTCAACTGCAGCAGCCCAGAGGCAAACATATCACTTGTTCTGCTTTCAGACGGAGGGGTGGCAGAGGGATGGAGCAGACGGTTAGGTGTGGTGACCTCCCAAAGCACCCAGTCATGAATAATCGGAGCTTGTGAGTCACGAGGCTGGAGAGATACAAAAGCAGGTCTCTTCTCCACAGCCAGTGAGTCACAGGACCAGTGTCACCAATCTCATTCCTTCAGTGACAGTGCCATGCTATTGGTGTTTTATTTTAATCCTCAATTTCTGGGATCAGGTGATTATGCACATATACCATTTGGGGGTTTTTTTTTCTTAGTGTTTTAGTTTCTAGCCTTCACCGAGGCTGGAGAGATACAAAAGCAGGTCTCTTCTCCACAGCCAGTGAGTCACAGGACCAGTGTCACCAATCTCATTCCTTCAGTGACAGTGCCACGCTATTGGTGTTTTATTTTAATCCTCAATTTCTGGGATCAGGTGATTATGCACATATACCATTTGGGGTTTTTTTTTTCTTAATGTTTTAGTTTCTAGCCTTCATCTTTGTGAAGGTAAGCTTCAAAATGTTGGCGCACGCATGCTTTGAAGGCTCAAGGGAGTAGTACAAAGGAGCTAAAGCAAAGCAGTTAGTATTTTAATCTTTCAACTACATGTGGGGTCTGGCTCAGGGTTTTTGAACCTTTGATGTTAGCGGTGCTGCATAACACCATAACAGAGCAAGTAAGAGATGAATGTCATTCTACCTCAGGGCAGACCCAACAGGCCATATTTCCTGAGGCAGAATTGCCCTTAGCATCAAGGCTGCGTTTGTGGGGCACAACCGAGCCCGTCCCTCTCGTGAAATGGCAGACTTGGGAAATGCCTTGAGTTTGTTGTGCTGGGGAATACGTCTTGTGATGCAGAACATTTCCATTTTAAATTGCACATCCCTGGTAGTGTAAGTGATCTTGCAACTCATGCCCTCCTTAGATCTCCCATCCCCTGTGAAAAAAACAGGTAGGACAGGGGGGGACCAGACTTACCGATGCTAGTGCACTCCATCGTGTGATTGTTGGCTTCCAGCCCATCAGGGCACTTTTCAAGGCACTTTCCACTGTATAAGTAAAACCCACTTTTACACTTTGTGCAGAAGTTTCTGGTGAAGCAGGTATCACAGTCAGCTTTACATTCTGAAATGCAAACAGTAAACAACAATGTTGTTGCTCTTTGCCACAAAACGCCATGGGCTCTCTCATATATATGAGAATGACACAATTCTAGCAATATATGTTAAACAATCCTCAAAGGAAGCAAGTTATGTTTAGATCATCTTCATGGCCTGTATACCCAGTGAGGCCAGCCACAAGTGACCTTGGCATGAGTGAGGATTTAGTAAGGAGGGCCTGATGCGGAACGGCCTCACACTGCTTGTCTTCTCGCAGACCTATGCAAATGGAAGACAGAGCACAGCACAGCAGAATAACAATATACCGCTTCTGCCCGGCGCTGACATAGCACAGGTACTAATTAACCCCACAAGGCACAGGTACTGAGCCAGTTCCACACTATCTATCTCCGTTCATCCAGGAGAAATAAAAATGTGCTGGAATTTAGAATCTGCTTAAGACTGTTTTGCATCAACATCTCTTTTTCTTTTTTTAAATGACTCCCTGATGTTCAGTCAGATGTCCTGTAGTATTTCATGTATTCTCCATATGACTACTCAAATTGGCATTAGTGGTATATTTCCCAGTTCTCAGATATTTTAAAAAAGAATACATAAAAACTTGTGTATGGCACAGCTCATGTCTGATATGAGAGGCCACACACTGCTCAAAAGTGAGCACATACTTTACAGTGTCAAGTTACTCTGTAAGACTTTACTCTGGGGTCTGGTCATTAAATAATTTCTATTACCAGATAAAAACTGGGAGAGTTTCTTGGCTGTCGCTGCTATGTTTTTATATCACCTGCAGGATTAAAACCAGTGAATTCAACAACAAAAAGAGGAGTGAGGAGGACAATGAGATCTTTTCCAGTTCCTTTATGGTTCGAAATACATAATGGGGTTAAAAAACATTGCTGGAGTGGTAAAGAATAGAGTTGGGTTCTCTGTCTCCCAGCCCGGAGGCAACATGAATCGGTAACTTCCACCAAATCAGGCTGAAACCTGGCCAGCCGCTGCAGGCATTTAGAGGCCTGCACTGAGCATGAGACAAGCCATAAAGAGTGCAGGGACAACCGCATCTCCAGAGAATGCCACCTCCCACCTTCTCTCCTTGTGGCAGGGGTCGGGCAGGTAAGGGCTGTGGGTTATACGGCTC